TTCCTACTTCTCTGTTGTTGTGCAGCTGTTATTCCAGTCTCTTTTTAAAAAGTACACATCATTTAGAGCAGTGGTTCTTAACCTTGGGTTACTCAGGTGTTTTTGAACTGCAACTCCCAGAAACCCCAGCCAGCACAGCTGGTGGTGAAGGCTTCTGGGGAGTTGCACTCCAAAAACACCTGAGTAACCCAAGGTTAAGAACCACTGACCACGTATGAGCAAGATAACATCACACAGATTTCCTGGACTGTAATTTTAGTTAACAGATTACAGTACTTATACTGAATTACTGAATGTTTCACAACCCACAGATCTATTATTCTGAAAAACGCCAACATTTCTCCTGCTCTTCCCCCACCTTCTATCCTACTAAATTTCCATGACTCTGCTCTTCTTTTTCCCCATAAAAATGAACTGCAACAAGCAATTTGTTGAAAATACATCATGAAAACACAAGATGTAAACCTTCAAAAATGGAGTTGGTAGGGTGGTGGGAGAAATTGGAAAATTGTCATTAAAATTAAAAAGAAAAACACAAGGGGAAATAGCCAGCTAATTCAGAAAAATTATTAGCAACAAATTCTGGAGGCTAAAAGTGAGCATTTTTAAAAATGGGAGTGCTTTCTTTACATTTAAAATACCTTTCCTCAATGGAATATTTTGCAGTACATGAAATACGAACCAGTTAGCAAACACATTTCTCAGTGATCTTTCCCCTTTTATACCAAGAAGGAAAAGAACTAGCAGAATGAACTTAAAAGTGTCTCTCCCTTTACTACCATGACTTTCTGAAATTAAAGCAAATATCCTGGTACCCCTTTTCCAAACAAAGACAGTCCACTGCTAGACATTCTTCATGCTATCCCATAATTTTCTATAATAGACAGACACATTCAATTTACCTCAGTGATTCTAACACAGACCACAGAAGTAAAGAAAAAAGGAATATGCACTGTTCATTGCTTTTTCATCTGGAAGACAAAGCTTGACATCTTTCAACATTGTGGAATGCCTGCAAAATCATCTCACCTCAATTTTTATGCTAAAACTAAAAGTATGAAAAATAGCAATCTATCAGACCAACATAGTATTTGGATCTTCTACATATACATGCAAAATGGCAGGTCTCACAATTCCATTGTAATCTTAGTTACCACACCTGTAGGATGTTTTCACAGTGATAATACTTAATATTCAGCAACAATGATTAGAACTTAATTAATTTAATTGAAAACATATACTACTTCCTGGAATATATATTTTCACACACATCTCAAAGGAAAACCTTTCCAAACAGATGCATATAACAGACACAAGAAGAATATTCATATAATAATTCTGATCAAAGTTAAAATATGAAAGTTAGCAGAGTCACCATAGAAGTCTGTTATCATGCGTGAACTCACCTATGAGTTATGATGGTCCTAGCAGGGTTTTTAGCATTTTTTTCAGAACAAGTATGGGTTGTTTTGAAAAAAAGTGTATGCCTCAGCACTTGATTCTTGTGGTGTATAGCTTGCATTATGGACAAGAAGCTACTGTTAGGACAGAACATGGTGAGACAGAAAGGATTCCCAGAGGCAAATGTGTCAGACAAAAGCACATGTTATCTACTATCTGTTCAGTCTATATGCAGAACATATCATATGGAATGCCAGACTAGATTCAGACTTAGGACAAGTGTAAACTGATGGAGGAAAGCTTAAGAAATTAAGATATGCATATGACACCATCTTACTAGCAGAAAGCACCAATGACTTGAAATGACTTTTAGTGAAAGTGGAAGAAGAAAATGTCAAAGCATGATTGCAGCTGAACATTAAGACAAAAATCACAACTACAGAAGAACTACACAACTTTAATGTTGATGATGAAGAAATTGAAATTGTTAAAGATGTTGTATACATTGGTCCAACTATCAACTGAAATGGAGCCTGCAACCAAGAAATCAGAGGACTGAGACTTCAAATGGGCGGCAATGAAGGAACTATAAAAGATCATCAAGTGTAAGGATGTGTTGCTGGAGACCCAGACCAAGAAAATCCACACTCTTTTATTTCTGAGCACCATATATGGGTGTGAAATTTGGACAGTAAAGAAAGCTGACAGGAAAAAATTGATTTGTTTGAAAGATTATGCTGGGGGAGGCTTTGCAGATACTCTGGGCTGCCAGAAAGATGAACACATGGGTCCTAGAGCAAATCAAAACTGAATTATCTCTGGAAGCAAAAATGTTGAAAATCAGGCTGTCCTATTTTGGACTTATTATGAGAAGGCAAGATTCTCTGGAAAAGACAATAATGCTGGGAATGGCTGAAGGTACCAGGAAAAGAGGAAGAGCAAATATGAGATGGATTTATTCCCTAAAGAAAACCACAGGCTTGAATTTACAAGAGATTAGCAGAGCAGTTTCAGACAGGACATTTTGGAGATCATAGGGTCAGTGTAAGCTGGAGGCGACTTGATGACATGTAACAATAACAACAGCAGCAGGATTTTCAAGCTACATAAAATCTTCAAGGAGTGGTTTACCATTGCTGCACACATCCATCTATGAGTTTTCATGGCCAACTGGAGATTTAAATCCAGGTCTCCTGAGTCCTGGTCTGATACTCTACCCACTACATTCTCACAGGCTCACTATGGAATACTCCTTTACAACCATATCATTTGCAAAGTCAAAAACTATCCAGATGTCATATATAGTGTCTCCTCCCCAAGTATTTATTATACAGCTTGCTTTTGCTATATCACCAGGATTACAAAAAGAGATTTACTTCATGTATTCATAAGGTCACAACTCATGGCTAGAAAACTGTCTTTGGCTTTATAGTCTTAACTTTGGCAACTTTATATTTACAAATGGACCACAAAGGTAAGAAACCAATAGGAGCGTCAATGATTTCATTCACATGATTATCTAGCATTTCCACACTCACTAAATTTTAAGAGTACTGGAAAACAAAATCTAAAAATTGTTATGTACATAACCTACATGGAAGCAACAAAATCATCCCTGTTCTGTATTATTAGAACTTATAATTCTTCCTCACCAACAACCCCTCTACCTCTAATAAAATATCACCCAGCAAAATAAACCATTGAATTACAATGCCATAATATTCTAATTTTAAAGAGAAATTTAATATAAGATCAGAAAAGCAGTTAATCAAGAATTAGAATAAAGTATTTCCAGAGATATTGCTACAACAGGATGGCAACATATTTACACCATGACGCCACATGCCGAATGTGCCATGATACAGAATATCATGCTTTTATCTTGTGTAGTCATACTGCTGATAAAAGTACACACAAGTAGTCAAGAAAAATGTATTAGTCTCAGAACTTTCTAATTCCAACATCAGCTGGACAGGATGCTAAGTAGGTTTGCAAGTATATTCACATGCCTGCTTCACTAAACACTGTGGGACCACCTTGCAAGGAGAAACAAATAGTCCATTCTGCAAATATTCTTCTACTTATATACAGTAGTTGATCTGATCTGCACCTGGCAACTAACTGTCCTGCCTCTGCCCAAGAAAAATAAACGTCATCATTCCTGCTCTAAAGGAACAATGAGGACACAAATAATCTACGCATACTTGTGCATGAATTCTAACGAAACTGAACTGCAAAGGGCACCAAAATCAGCCCATATCCTATCCATGGTACAGAATGAGAATTTCACCACTGAAGCATGAGATGCACTTCAAACATAAAAATAAAAACAGTGTATAATAATAATTGGGTACTTTCAAGTCAATTCTGGCTCATGGCAACCATTTTCAGGGTTTTCCAGGTATAGAATACTCAGAAGTGGTTGACCATTCCCCTTTTCTATCAGTGCTGGGGACTGTGCAGTTTGTTTATGACTACACAGGCTGGCTCTTCTCCCAGGAGGCACAGTGGGGAATTGAACTCCCAACCTCCAGCTTCAAACCTGAATACAGTAATTAAACCATAGCCCAACAAAAAGACAAACATCAAAGCCATGCCAATACATAACATGCAGCACCTCAGATTGCTCTCCATAAAACTGCCCTATGCCAAGACACAATAGTAAGTCCACTGAATATAACGCAGCAAACCCACCTCACTGGGAAGCACACAGGAAAACGAACTAAACATAGACCAGATATCCGTGCAAAGGGACCACATAAAAAGAGACGGATACAGTATCAACCGCCTACAATATAGAATAATAAATTCTGTAGAGGGTTTTCAAGAAGACAAGACACGGGTAGACATTCCAGACTGAACAGATTATTAGGCTACAATTCCTACAGCATACATGAAGGTGACCCGAGAGTAATTAACTCATTAACAATGGGGTCACAGAGAACAAATTGTTATCACAAGGGTGACAGTAACGCCCCTAACGTCTCCATGCCATCAACAGGCTTTGAATTACATATCCAATCCATGCGACTCTCACAGCCTAGAAGTTACAAATATGGATGAACCCCCGACCCCCAAAAAAAAGATGATTAAGGGGCATCACAAATGAGAGGTCTTCTAGCAGATGGACAGAATCGACCCGGAGAGTGTCACACATTCTTGTTGCCCAAATCTACGTAAAGGTGGCTCCCAAGTGTGGAGGCGCCCAAGGCCCCTTCCTTCTTCGACAGGGCTAACACCCCTCCTCCCCCCCCCCACACACACGCCTTTCGAAGCGCGAGATAACACCCGTAAGGCAAAAAAAAAAAAAAAAAAAAAAAAAGCGAAAGGAGTCATAAGCCCTGGAGGGAAAACAGAAGATTGACCTGAGTGGCGATGCGAAGGCGAACGGAGCCCAATGGTCGTCGCCACGGCGTCCCTCCAAGAAAGCTTCCCCGCAGAGGTAATCCTCGCAAGCGAGAGAAGGGCTCTTGGAGCCTCTCCCCAAAAGTTGAGTTAGGCAGGCAACGGGGGGAGGAGGAGGAGGAGGAGGGCCCCTGGCATGTAGCAGCTCGCCGCCAGGCCCCCGCCGAGGGAAGGAGGGCAGAGAAGCAGCTTACCTCAGCAGCGCCCGCGCCTTTGTGTTTCCCTCTTGCTGCCTCTGCTGCCCTGGATGGCTCGCGGGAGCAGCAGCCCCTCCTTCAGGGGAGGGGCGCGCCTCGCCGACGCAACCAAGAGGCCAGGCCGGGCGGGGGCCGGCTCAGGCGCTGCCTCACTATCTGGCAGGAAAGATCCCTTCTCCGCACGCCCCGCCTCCCGCTGTCGGCCGGAACGGGCGCACTATCTGGCAGCACCCTAGAGGCCCTCATGGATTCCCTCGCGCGCTTCGCCCGCCCTCAGGCTTCGAGGCACGGCCAGCGCTTGTTCGAGATTGAATTTCCCTGCCTCCCCCCCCCCGATCTCCTCTTCACTATGTGGGGGGGGGGGTAGGTAGGTGGGTGGGTGTCAGGGAGTGAGACGGGCGGTTCCACGGAGTGGTCGCTCTAGGCTTCCAACCAAACCAAAAGCCGCCGCGTCCCGTAGCTTCTGGAGAAAGGGGGCAGCTTGTTATCTCACAGGCGAGGCGGGCGACGACGACACCAGAGAGGTGGAGGCTCTTCAGAGACCGAGGGGCGGGTTCGTTTGAGCCGAGTACAGTACTCACAAAACGTCCCTGACCACCATCCTCACCACGTCCCTCACACGCTCATATCACCTCCATCTCCAGAATGGGAAGTCAGCTTCCCCGCCCTTTTTCTCCACGCAGCACTTAAGATGCGTCTCCAGCCAATGCTCCCACCACCATATCCTCCACGAAAGGGGGCGTTTTCACACGTTTAAGGTGCACATTGCTTATAACCTTCCCGTCGCTGCTTCTAGTGTTTAAATCTCCCAAGTGTAGAGCTCACACGAAAACACTACCCTGGAACACACAACGCAGCTTCCTTTACATCCACCTGGATATTAGCTATAACAACACCGCTTAAATCATGGCGGTTTCACGTACGCACTTTAAGTCTTCCTTTTAGTGCCCAACCCGAAGATAAGCACTCGCCGAAAGGCGTTGCGCGCTTGCCTTCGTGCTATCGTGTGAGTAATACTACGCCTGCTTGTAAATAAACCCAAGCAAAGTTGAGGGGTAAGGAAGCCGGTCCATTGCGTTCATTTGCGAGTTTTCTCCTGCCTTCCACGAAGCTCTCCCCAGGCGCGAGCAGTTCCCTCTTTCCTCAGTGCTTCTGCAGCCACCTAAATCGCTTTAGCTCTGCTACTCCATATTCCTTGCACGTTCCCTATGCAACTCTTCTATTGTCCGCATTAAAATCCGGCCACTCCATGTTACCTCCCAACCCCTACAGTTGCTGGAAACGCGGCTTGTAATTCTAGCCTTCTAACATATACTGTATTTACATTCGCCCGATGCGTTGTAAAATCCCTCTATCCTGCAAACAGGTTTCCCCAGGATTACTTTCGTACGTGGCTTGAAAATCAATCCGCTTCAATAGTATGTTAACCTCCTTCCTCTTTGAAATAAACTAACCACTCCTTTCAAACTCCGCCTTTCGTCAAGCTGTCCCCGACCCCTGCAGTCACCTGTTTCATGCGTCTAACCTGGCCGTATGCATGTTTTCTCCAAAGTAAGTCGTACTGTGTTCAGTGGCGTTTACACACAAGTAACCGGTTAAAGGTTTCCACCCTTTAAATATACAGTACAGTACTCTTGCGCTGTATATCATAGAGCCACTCCATTTCCTGTGTCTACTCATCAGTAAATCCTATTGACCTGACTGGCATTTAGATTACAAACATATTCATTTACTTGGAAGTAACTGCCATTCATATGATTCGTTTTTATTTCCGAGTAGGCATTTACAGGCTGGGTTTCGCAAACCATTATGTTCAAAATTACAGTATTTTCTCCATAAATTACACATACTTTTATCTCTGATTTCCAGCCTCTCCCTCTGCTATACACACACTTAACATGCTTTCCATTTCTCTTACACTCCAACTCACATCACACAGCCGACACACCCACACCTCCCACTACATACCTTCACTTTTCCCTTTTTGCCCCCTCACTTTCTTTTACAACAGAAAGCTGCTTCTAACAAACAAGCCTTTACAAATGTAACCTTTAATTGAAAGCTGTAAGACTGCCGAGTTCTGCTACCTTCGGCTGGCCCTTCCCTCCCAGATTATTTCATCACCTTAATATGCTTTTAAATTCAGAAGCAAAACGAAGTACTGCTCGAGGATATGGAGACTTTGCCAGCTGTTATATCATTTGATATTCACTGTGGTTGGATTTGAATATGGAAAGGAATATTTGTGTCACTAAAAAAGAGAAAGCAATCCTAATTACTTTCCTTCTTGCATTAAAGTTTATGCTAATTAACTGTACAAAAGCACTCTGAGGGTAGGGAAAGGGGAGGTGTCTCTTGCAGTCTAACCACCATATAATCATCCAAGTCTGCAGTCCTTACATAAAAAGCATGCAGCAGAATAGATTCCAAGGGTGATATGCCTCCTGCTTTTCCTCCCATAGCTTGTATATTTTAGAAACTGATGGAAGATTCCTTACCAGATAGCTTTCCTGGTTTTCCTGTACGTCTGCCTTTTCGTTATGTAGGAGTGTTAAATCTCACAATGCTGCATAGAGAGGGAGACACACACACTGCAGCAGCTCTAAAGCCAAAGGACAGGAAAGTATGTTACTTCCTAGAGAGGCTCTATATTGCCACTAGGCGCTGGCAGAGGCAAAAGGCATTTTTTTTTCTTAAAACTCATTCCTGATTCCTCTTTAATTGTTTCCTGCCATCTAGAACACAGGAAAGTTAACCAAATGAACTGTACTGGCAGAACTCTATATAAAAGTTCAAACTAGAAGTTAAGATGAAGGGGAAAAATACAACTTTGCCATGAATCAAAGAAAAGAGGAAATGTTAACTAATGCATATTTACTTGAGGTCCCACTGACTTAGGCAGTGAGACTTCCCAGTAAGTATGTACAATATTACAGCTCTAGTACAGTTCATGAAATTTTAAAACTGTTTCATTCAACTGTCCTATTGTTGCATTAAAATGCTAAGTATATACAGTATTTTCATTACTAGTTAAATGGGCATAGTTAAACTCACAAATACAGTACAGTACAGCATAGTTCTAGAGCAGTGTTTCCCAACCTTTTTTAAGCCGGCATAGTTAAACTCACAAATACAGTACAGCATAGTTCTAGAGCAGTGTTTCCCAACCTTTTTTAAGCCATAACTAGAGATGGGGGCATTTGTATATGAATACCCCCTGATGTACTGTTCTAGAGCAGTGTTTCCCAACCTTTTTAAAGCCATAACTAGAGATGGGGGCATTCGTATAAGAATACCCCCTGCACAGGTGGCAATAATGAGGGTACAGCCCCATGGGGCCAGAAGGTCCACTCACCAATCTGCTGCCGCTAGGAGCTCCAGGATCTTTCCTATCACTACAGAGCTTGCGATTGGCTCACCACTCACTGTTCTAGAGCAGTGTTTCCCAACCTTTTTAAAGCCATAACTAGAGATGGGGGCATTCGTATAAGAATACCCCCTGCACAGGTGGCAATAATGAGGGTACAGCCCCATGGGGCCAGAAGGTCCACTCACCAATCTGCTGCCGCTAGGAGCTCCAGGATCTTTCCTATCACTACAGAGCTTGCGATTGGCTCACCACTCCTGGGAGGAGGCATTGCGATCGGCTCGCCACTCCTGGGAGGAGGCGTTACGACAAGCCTCTCTTCCAGGTTGAAGAGTGACTCGCAGATCACAAGCTCCGGAGTGATAGGAAGGATCCCGGAGCTTGCGGCAGTAGCGGATCCGGAGTGATAGGAAGGATCCCGGAGCTCGCGGCAGCAGTGCATTGGTGAGTGGACTGTGTAGCCTCATGGGGCTAAACCCTCATTATCACCACCTGTGCAAGGGTATTCTTATTCATATAAGAATACCCCCCATCTCTAGCACCTGTGCAAGGGTATTCTTATTCATATATGAATACCCCTATTTCTAGTCATGACTCCCTTTTATAATAGCCAAGTAACCTGTGATCCCTACCATATCTGCATAAAAAGGCATTTTAATGGGATAAAGAAAACAGCCCAGCATATTCTTAAAAGGGAATACATGAAAGCATAAGTCCTGGTCTGGGTTATCCTAGCTAAATGCAATCAAACAGCTATGTATGGTGACCACTGAAGGCCAATAGACAGCAATATCTGATAGTCTTCTTGGGACTGCATACACTTTAGAGTTAGAAAGCTCCCAGAACTTTGACATCTCACTCACTATGCTGTGCAACAAAAGAACAGCAATACTTTTAGTATTTGCACTGCAAATAAAGGAAGGACATGCATCCTTACTAGAGATCGGGGAATTTGTATTCATATACGAATACCCCCACACAGGTGGAGATAATGAGGGTCCGGCTCTATGGGGTTGGACAGTCCACTCACTGATGTGTTAATGCTACAGGGTCCGCACTCCCATCCTATCGCTCCAGACATTGCGATCGGCTCACCACTCCTGGCAGGAGTGGGATGACAAACCTCTCTGCCAGGTCAAAGAGTGGTCAATTCTCCTGGCTTGTTTTAAGTTCTCTCCTTTCTTTCTATCTTTTGTTTATTTATCCCACACTTTTTAAATGCTACTTCTAAGTCTGGCCTGTACCTCTCAACCTGCCCAATACCTATCTTCTGGATGTGGGAGATATATCTGTTTCCTTACAGAAAGATCCATGCCCAGGAAAGACGAGCACTATTAGTGTACAAACTAGCTAGGGAGGACAGGATAAAGGCTCAACAGTAATTATCTGACATGATAGAGAAAAAAAGGACCTTTCATTTTCAAACCCGGGAGCAGGGGAGGATGTTAAATGCAAATAATGGAGATGCTTGCAATTCCTCCTAAAAGCAGTTAGCTAGCCTTTGCTGGAAAAAGGTCTTCTGGTCTCTCCCAGAGGACTCTTCCTCGATTTTGATCCAGTGAACTGACTTTTTCTTGCTCTTAAAACATTCCTCTGAACCACCTATGGTCATCCATGTAGTTACAAATAAGATATAGTGGTTTGATGGAGATTGCAGGGCACTCATAATCCTTCCCACCACCCAGTGTTCATCCCAACTTCCCTCCAGTCCCCCTCACCAATAGGTTGGTGTTTGCATTCAAACAGAAGTAAAGTTTATGCTTCTTCACCAGACTCGTCAAGGTATTGTGCAGCACAATGTGCTTCATTGCAAATTTTATTACAAGCCTCCTCCTCCTCCTCCTAGCCAATGCACACCACAAGGCACAGCCTGTCCCAATAAAGGTACTTGCTGACAGGGTAAGTAGACCTGTGCCCAGAAAATTCAGAGAAACAGTGCCCACA